ACGATCTACATATTACTGATAGCATCGGACAATATTAAAGAGAAGAGTGCGGGACTATTTGCAAAAAAGTGACAGGGACAAAAAGCGACACATTTTAGAAAAAGTGACATATTGATTAGAAAAAGTGACATTTTATTTCGTGTCAGATTGCACCTTACAAATTTTCAATGGAATTTTTCAATTATTCAGAAACAATCCTGAAGTCAATGTATTTTGGTGTGCACTTCATGTGATGAGAGCGTTCAATGGAAACAAAGAAAAATTTAATGGAGATGATGAACTTTTCAAAAGAATCCAGAAGAAGATGAATTATTTGTGTTATGCACGATGCTTAGATTCAGAACAATCTCAAAAAATTGTCGAACGTATCAAGGAACTAATTGAACCGAACAAAGAATTGACAGAATATTTCAACAATCAATGGTGGAAATATGGAGAAAGATGGATTGTTTCAAATAAACCAAAAGAAGTTCCACTCACAAATAATGTTTCTGAGAGTTTATTCAAAAAATTGAAATATTATGATTTTGGAGGAAGTTTGCATATGAAGTTTGATTATTTTGTGTTTTTTATTATGAACGATATTTCAAAATCTTATGCATCACTTTTGAATGCTGATTTATTATTGAAAGCAAAAATCAAGCTTCCTGTCACATTTGAAATAATCACAAGACCAAGAGGTTTTTCAAAGAAATTTGAGGCAAAAGATAAATTGAAAGAATTGGGAAAATTAATCTCAACAGGTAATGTTAATTTAAACCAATTTATTTAATTTATTTCTCGAATTCCCGAAAAACTTAACCGTTTGAATCAAATTCAAACCGAATTAAATCGAGAAATCGAACAAATGAATATTCCTCTCGAAACTAAAACAGAGATATATATGAAAATTTCTGATTATTTTTCAAATGAACCTCCAAAAATAGTTTTGAGAGAATATCGCAACGTATTTTTTGTCAATTTAAAAAACGAATATCATTTAAATTAATGATATAAGAATAAATATTTCAAATTTAAAAATGTAATATTTTTATATTAATTTTTTAAAGGGTTTATTAATAAATTTACATGATAGAGCATAATGAATAAAAGCAGAGCGCTGCGAGTTATGCATTCCAATTGCATGGCTCGTGGCGCTCTGCTTTGCTTCATTCCAGAGAAAACTTCGGCTGAATAACTTAGACATTCAGCAGAAGTTTTCTCTGGAACGCGAAGGATAGCGCCGGCAACAGACAGCGAGAGCTTACTCTGTTGCCAGTTGCTGGAGCTATCCTTCTCGCTTATATCGCTAACTTTAGCTTAATCAAAAAAGATTAAGCTAAAGTAGTGAAGCTGTAAGGTACAGCAGAGCTCTGCTGCTTTGTAAAATTGTGTTTGAGGCAGCAGAGCTCTGCCGGACCAACCAGTTGGCAATGCTCCCCCAAGTTGGAGGCTTGGGGTGGAAATTTGCTTTCCAACCCAAGCCAACAACTTGGGTGGAGCATTAACCACTGGCCGATGGCTCTTAGTATCTCGGCCCATGGATCAAACCTCTGTGAAGGAAGTTGATCCATGAGCCGAATGCGAGCAACGATGTTGCTCTCCTACGAGCCTTTGGTCTTTTAGGATCTGAATGCACTTTGACGGGAAAAGCATCCATTTTCCCTGAGAATGGTTGTGCGCATTCTCTGTCGCCATACATCCAGATCCCATAAGACCAAATAATTTTTTAATTATAAACGTTCAAAAAAAGTCTGTCACCTTTTTGCAAATAGTCCGGTATTGTTAAAGAGAATACTATTGTGGCAAGGAAAAATTATCAAAATAGTGTTGTATGCTAAGTTCGGTCAACGATAGAAATTGAGTGGAAATTAATCATCGAGGAAGTACGATTATGTAAAGTAAAAAAATGTTGTGGGATTTTTAATATTATATATTATTTTATAATAAATTTTTTTGAGTCATTTTAAGAAGCACATATAATTTTTTGAATTTAAAAATTAAAGTAGTGTCAAACGAATTTATCACTTAATTTAATACTCAGATTTCTTAAAATTAATGAAAAAAAGGTTTTCTGAGAACTTTTGAGAATAGTTTTCAAATTCCATTATTGAAAATATATAGGTATTGTATGAAATTCAAACTCTATATTGATTAAAATTCTAAATTTTTAATAAAATAACTTTTCAGAGGAATATGATTTTGAATGGTTGATTAATAAGTATAAAAATGTCTACGATTTTAAGGAGGGAATTGTTCCTTATGAGGTATACATCATAACTATATACCTCATAAGGAACAATTCCCTCTTGATAGCTGGGAAACTTTCTCTGAATAACTTATCATTTGGAGAAAGTTTCCCAGCTATCTATTAAAAACCAATATATAATCAGTGCCTCATAGCCTTTAGTTTCTTATTAAAAACGAGAAAACTTGTTCGAAATGATAAACAATTTCGAACAAGTTTTCTCGTTTTAAGGAGGGAATTGTTCCTTATGAGGTATACATTATAACTATATACCTCATAAGGAACAATTCCCTCTTGATATCCTGGATATTTTTGAATATATTTTTTTAATTAAAGTTCTCAAAAGTATTATCAAAAGTGATTTTTTAAAAATATCTCCAATTAATTAACTAATTAAAAGTATTATATTTTTAAAATTAAATAGTTTTTCAATTTTTTGAAGGAATTGAGATACTTCCCACGACAATAAAATTGAGAGGTTTACATTATGACTGATCTTAGCATACAACAATAGAAAATTTGTCACAAATTCTATATATCTGCAAACATTAAATCACAGTGCATAAGATTACATTCAAGCAATATTTCTCCCATTTAGAGTGGTAAATGGTGGGTGAGAGGCATAAAAGTATACTATACCTCTCACCCTTCAATTCCTTTTAAAAATTGTCAAATTGTTTTGTGAAACCAATCAAATTTATAAGAAATCACAGTCATCATTTAGCGGAACTACCGACATACAGAAGTTCCTGTTCTCAAATCCTCACGTATTAAGTTCAAATACTATTTATTGTAAAGATTTCAATTTTGAAAGCTCTGACCATTCAAAAGTTGATCGTCGAATGGTTGACAAAATTTGTTTTGAACATGTGAATATGAATACAAGCCCCTCACGAAGATCTATACCGCATTGTTTACTTTCTTTCTCATTTCATGTCAATACAATTTTTCGATATCTTCAGTAGTATATTGATATCATCCATTTCATTAGTACCAGAAAACCAAAAGCAGACATGTTTGTACATGTAAAGCATGTCCTACTTTTAAACCTTAAATGCTTGATCGGAAAAATTTTAATTATTTTGCCATTGTAATAAAAGAGACGTAAGACAATATATGACAAGTCAAGAGTAGGTGATGCAGAATTATATTTCATATATACGGAGTCATCGTGGATTTTGGCGTCACTTTTCCAAAAAGTTCTCAATTTAAAAACCAAAATCCACATTACTAAAACTAAAATCCATTTTTTAAATGTCTCCATATATATAATATAGAATTACTCAATTTCATTATATGTATTGGATAGTACTCTTGTTTAGTGAGATGTTCATGCATAGAAGAAAGGGAAATTATAAAATATTTGGTAAATTATTCTTAATATCTTTGTTAATATATGATATTTTGATATTTTGATATTTGTTTATATATACTTAAATGTCTTGCTTATGTGTTAATAGATTTAAATGATAGTTTTATTCAATCTAAGAAAGTGTAAATAATAAGATTCACATTAAAATAAAAAATGTGTTTTCCTTATCAATTCGAATTGATATGTAATTCACTTCACTTCTCTCATACTATTAACACTTCTAATATTCAAAATATATTTTAATAAATTTATTTCTCACTTTGACGATACCGTATCTATTTACTCACTTTAACGGTATCTAAATATTTTGGCCGGTATTTTAAAATTTTATTTTAATATTATTGAATATTTTTCTTCCAAATTTCAATGAAAATATTAAAAAAAATAAAAAATAAAAATAAAAAAATAAAAAAAAATAAAAAACTAAAAAAATAAATAAAATAAAATAAAATAAAATAAAATAAAATAAAATAAAATAAAATAAAATAAAATAAAATAAAATAAAATAAAATAAAATAAAAAATATCTTTTGTAATTACTGAAAGGGGCTGAACTTTGCATTTACACTTTCTATCGTACTGGAATGTGCGATTTTGAAAGTTAGAAAACAAATTTGGACGGAATTCGACTAAAGATTCAACATTCGGTGAATTTAACTCGAAGACTTGCAAATAATCGGTAGCATTAATATTATACTTCTCGAAATTATCAAAAATCTGTAATAATTTATTTTCTCTGTTTATCAGGATAATAAGCAATTGCTGTAATGTTTTCTGGATTGATACGGATATAGGATGAATAAGTGTTCTTCATATCTTTTGCAAATTTATTTAATAAATTTTGAAATTCATCTTGGTCATCTGGAATTTTTTTCCGCTTTGAACATCCAATTTGGCCCTACCGTAGCATCACCAAAAAGAGTTATCTTATTAAATTTTTAAAGTGGTCAGTCTTTTCAGTTCATTTTTCTCAATGTCTTCCACTATGAGTGACACCAATTCGACACTGCCATCTGGACCGAAACTTACTGTACAGCGTATCCAACCCTTACCAAATACACCTCTACATCCTCCAGTCAATTCCCAAACAGCCAATTAGACCAAAATCGGTCAATATGCATTTAAACGAAGAAAAAAGTGAACACACAGTTGCAGAAACTGTTCAAGAACATACTATAGGAACTTCCGCATTTGAAAAACAATCTAAACACAATTTAGAACAAATTTTGATCAATTCTTCTAGTTCAGACGAAGAAGAAGACTCTAATATTGAAGGAGAAGAACCAACAGAGTATCTCCGTGTTATAAACAAAAACGATAAAACGGTTTGACAGAAAGGTGACAACTTTACATGTCAAAAATTTATTTTTTATTAAAATTAATTTTCTTCTTCTAAAACTTCTTAATTGGAACTTTCTTCATACAAACCTTCTTCATAAGAGCTTTCTTCTTCGAAATCGTCTTCATTGGAACTTTCTTCATCGATATCTTCTTCATTTGAATGTTCTGACTCTCTTTCTTCGTCTGTATTACCTTCTTCTCGAATGTGAATATCGGGAATGTCTTCAGCTCTTCTCCCATCTGGAAGAAAATCCTGTTCAACGCCATCAACAATCCACTTTGCCTGCTTTCCTTGTCTCCACATATCATTGATTTTCCAACACATGAGAGGGCTAAAATGAATTGTTTTACCATTGACTCGATGTGTTGGAAGAGTTGTGTGGTGCTTGGTGTTATATTTAGCAAACCATCTACCTATTTGCTTCCAGCTAATTTTCTTGTATTCAATGCTCGGCCAAAGCCTCTCTATTTTACCATTTTGGAAGTGACAGTGTGGTGTAATATACACCCTATTAATACCATTCACACTCAATGCCCGGTAAAACTCTCCACGATTTTCTCCACCATTCGTTTGCAAACAATTGCAAGAACTTTTTCTTGCTTTCAGCGTGAGAATTGGAGCACTAGAGGCATAATGTTAGAATTAATGCCATAAGGCAACAGTTCCCTCGCTGAAGGTCCAAAACATTCTTGAAATTATAAACAATTTCACTTTAAATCAAAAGTGATTTCTTTCGTAAGTACCGCATTGGAAATGTTTATGGCATATCAAACTTTTATCTAAAACGAAAATTTCAATACGTTTTAGACAAATATTGTCAACGATAGAATTGTCTTAGGATTCTTATCGAGAGGAGTTTGTCCTGATTGTAAATCCAGCTTAAATTTGGATTTAATTTTGATTATATTTGGGAAAGATGCCAAAAAGTCCGAAAAGTATAAAATCTGACAGCCACTTGTTCTCAATATGCATTACTAAGCTTGGCATTAAATTAATATTGTAAGACATTATCTACTTGAGTGGTCACAGTAAATTATTGAGGTATGATTATTATCTTTGTATTTAGAATATACACGAATTAATTAAATGTTCATTATCGTCTCCCCACTTAATGTCAAAAGTCAGTTTTTTGATTTTAAAAATTGAAGGGTTTTCATCTTGTGGAATTATTCGCTTCGCTTGGATTCCACAAGATGAAAACCCTTCAATTTAATTGTGATGCTTTTATACGCTTGTAATAACGGATTGTTTCAATATAAAAACTATTGATTTTTTTTGACTAATTCGCTGTCAATTTTTTTTGGATTGTTTCGCAAATCACCAATAAATCTGTTTATAATGGATGTTTTCTCGAGTACAGATATTTATTTTTATTCCGAGCACTTTGGAAAACTTTTTAAATTTTCCTTCCAATACCGCAGGCAATATAGAAAGTAAACTATGAAAATCTTCTAACAAAGGATTTTTTACGGTGATATGTTCCTTTTTCGAAAAATGCCGTTGTCTCAAATATAAATCTAAAAAAGCACTTTCACCTCATCTGGAGTTGCCCCAAATTATTTTTTATTACATAAAATTGATTGTATCAATCATTAAAATTGATTTTGATTGTGACTGTGAAAAATTATAATTATTTTTCTACCATCAAAAAAATTCTTATGACAATTATTATCTAATAAAAGCAATTTTTGACGCTTTAGAAAAAAATACTGACACTTCATTTCAAGATTTTGTTTGATCCATTACACAATTATTTAAAGGAAACTCGGTTGACTTCACTTCATATCTGATGAATGGATGATTAATCGAAAAACTGAGAAAAAGAATGAAAAATTTTAATGAGTGAAATTGATATGAATTTGTTCCGTACCGAAAAGGGTCACTAGAAAAAGTGACAAAAAGTGACAGTTACTCTTATTTTTCGCGCCAAAATTCGAAAGGGTTTTTAATATAATAATTATAATATATAAGGAATTTTATTAAAAATATGAAATTAAAATATAAAAAATTTAATAGTTAATTTAAGTTTGTTTTTTATTTTTATTTTAGAACTGTTTTCATAGGAATTGAAGGGTGAGAGGTATATAGTATGCCTATATACCTCGCACCCTTCAATTCAAACTCGAGTAGGTGACAAAAGTGCATACTCTTAAATTAACCTTAAATGTTGATTTTTCGATATTTTCAGTATTAACCTTATTGTAAATTTTTCCGGTGATAAATTTATCACACTGAGGTTATTTTTCCGGTGAGATTTTTAACCTTGATTTAATGAAATTAATATATATAAATTTTATTATTTTTAATTTCGAATGAGTATAATAAAATATTTTTTATGCGTTTTTGTTTTTGATGTGATTTGAATTTTGTTAACTCTTTTTAAAATCACTTCATTTTTATGATTTCGGTGGACTTAGAGGAGCTTATTGCTTTTGGTATTAAACAGGAAGTCAAGGGCGGTGTCCCATACAGAAGAAGAACGGGATCTCCAAAGCAATATGTCACTTATTCATGTTCGTATCCCCTATGCAAGGCAAAATTTAGGGTTGAAGAACAAAATGGAGTGTTTACTATAAGCAAAGTTAATGAAGAACATTGCCATCATATAGGAGTTGAAATGGGTTCACATTACGCGAGTAAATTTTATCAAAAATGGATCGAACTTTATATTAAAAACGGTGGAAAGCAATTTCTTGCTCAAAAAGCATTTTTTGATAAGTTCGGAATTGATACGAATAACAAAGAAACGATGAAACTTTTCGCGCAGTCTACTGATGCTTTAAAGCACAAATTTTATCGCCTTGATGAGATTATTGCACAAAGATTATCAAACGATCCTTACACTTCTTTGGAAGCATTTTTGAATAATTTACAGGAAGAGTGCCCAGATGATCTCGTTCAATTTGATTACAATGGAGATTTTTCCGAGTTTACAATCATATATGCACCTTTTGCTGCAAAAGAATTGGTGCATAGCATTGATAACCCTCTCCACGTCGATTCCACTCATTCTTTAATTAAAGGAAAGATCCAATTGTTTGCAGTAACAATGAAAACAAGTCAAAACACAATTTTCCCCTTTTGCTATTTTTTAGTGAACCCTCAGACATCTGAAAAAATTCAAGAATGTTTGGTGAAATTCTGTGAGTTTGCGCACCTGGATCCACAGCATTGGAGCGCTGACTGTGCGCTAAACATTGCTCGCGCAATTGAGGACGGATTTCCTCTTGCGCAGCTCAGTTGGTGCGCTGTGCATGTTTTACGCGCATGTGCAAAAGTTGGAAGCTATTTTGACAATCCACAGAATTTTGAGAACTTCTATTTAGCAATGGACTTTTTGACATTACGTGCAGATGCAACGAATGCAGAAAAGCTGGCTGAAGAGTCTGATGAAACATATGAGTTCTTGACAACAATGTTAGAAGAAGAAGAACCGCGCGCTTTGAAGTATTTCGATAAACAATGGAGAAGAACCAAAGAACATTGGATGATGTTATATCGTGGAGAAGGTGATTCCACGAATAACATTGCGGAATCACACTTTCATCAATTAAAGCAAACATTTTTCTTGGGTAAGAAAAATGAGCGCATTGATGACATCGTCATAACTCTCATCACTGTTGTGATTCCAAATGCGATTATTAAGGTTCAAGTCGCTAATGTTTTGAATGAAGAAAGAGCAGTAAGAATTCTTACAAGGGCAGGTAATCAGATTGTTGAGCAAAGAGCTTCAAAACACGATGAATGTTTGAAATTAATTCAACACATTTTGGAAATTGTCGAAAGCCGAAGGATTGAACCTAATGTCCTTATTCCATCTTTGAAGGCAATATTAAATTTGGCACAAAGAAGTTTAAAGGAAGAGTAAGCAAGATTAGATAATTTGGACTTTTTTTAAAATTAATGAATAAACAGTATATTTTTGAAGTGTAAGCTTATTTACCTGAAGCTATATTACTTAATATAACATTCAAAGTATTATTGCTATTTATTGGAGAACAAATTTATGTAATTTTCACATGAAAATTGATAAATTTGTATTTCCTTATGATAATCAATTTTTGTATTTGTAGAGAGTCTCCCTGCATGATATCAAGACTTGGCTATAAGTCTTTATCCATTTTTGAAAATTGTATTGTAAATTGTAAGAATTTCTGAATACTACTACTATAAAATATAATTGCTTATCAATGTATATTCTCCCTGCATGATATCAAGACTTGGCTATAAGTCTTTATCCATTTTTGAAAATTGTATTGTAAATTGTAAGAATTTCTGAATACTACTACTATAAAATATAATTGCTTATCAATGTATATTCTCCCTGCATGATATCAAGACTTGGCTATAAGTCTCTATTCATTATGAGTATGACCCCATTTTTTTACAAAAAGTGCCGAATTGCAACTTTGTCCCAATCTCTATTTTAGAACTGTTTTCATAGGAATTGAAGGGTGAGAGGTATATAGTATGCCTATATACCTCGCACCCTTCAATTCAAACTCTAAATGGGAGAAACTTTGTTCGTATGTTATCTTATGAAAGCAAAGTTTCTCCCATTTAGAAAGTGAATGGGAGCCTACCAGGCACTGATACATAATCAGTGCTTTGTAGGCTCCTATTCCCTCGAGAAAGTTCGAAAACTTGGTCGCAATTGCATCTGATTGAGACCAAGTTTTCGAACTTTCTGGTAGGAATTGAAGGGTGAGAGGTATATAGGCATACTATATGCCTCTCACTCTCAGATTACATTAACGTACATAAAAAATATTTTTAGATTGATTTTTACTAACCTGAACCTCGGAGTAACGAGGTATTCGTAGATATGATGTAGGCTATTGTTTTAAGCGGTAAGCTCGGAAACTTTTGTTAGATAACTTAGCATTCGAAGTCACTTTTTGAACTTTCTGCGCAAAACTGTAGCCTCGGAGTACCGAGGTATTCGTAGATATGATGTAGGCTATTGTTTTAAGCGGTAAGCTCGGAAACTTTTGTTAGATAACTTAGCATTCGAAGTCACTTTTTGAACTTTCTGCGCAAAACTGTAGCCTCGGAGTACCGAGGTATTCGTAGATATGATGTAGGCTATTGTTTTAAGCGGTAAGCTCGGAAACTTTTCTTATATAACTTATCATCCAAATCTACGATTTGCAATGAATCATCAGTAAGTAAATAATTGTATTAAAAAGATGTAAATACGATAATATTAAGTGTTTATTCGTAATGATTTGAGAATTTGTTGAAAATTTATTGAACTTGCTCGAGATTTTCATTTTCTGAACTCGTCAATGCTTTCCTTAAGGTTTTTTAATTGACCGTCGACT